CTTGCACCCTCTGAAGCTATGACTCATGCTGTACATTGGCCCCCTTTAGCCATGGCTGGAGTGGCTGGGATGCAGGGCACCAAGTCCCAAGGCTGCAAACAGCAGGGGGACCCTGGGCCTGGTCCAGGAAACCAATTTTTCCTCCTAGACCTCCAGGTCTGTGATGGGAGAGGCTGCCGTGAAGACCTCTGATATGCCCTGCACACATAAAGACATTTTCCCCATGGTCTTGGTGATTAACATTTGGCTCCTCATTACTTATGCAACTTCCTGCAGCCAGCTTGAATTTCTTCTCAGAAAATGAGTTTTTCTTTTCTATTGAAATGTCAGTCTGCAAATTTCCCAAACTTCTGTGCTCTACTTCCTCTTGAACGCTTTGCCACTTGGAAATTTCTTCATCCAGATACCCTAAATCATGACTCTCAAGTTCAAAGTTTCACAAATCTCTAGGGCAGCGGCAAAATGACGCCAGTCTCTTTGCATAGCAAGAGTGACCTTTACTCCAGTTCTCATCAAGTTTCTCATCTCCATCTGAGACCACCTTAGCCTGGACTTCATTATCCATGTATCACTATCAGCATTTTGGTCAAAGCTATTCAACAAGTCTCTAGGAAGTTACAAACTTTCCCACATCTTCCTGTCTTCTTCTGGCCCTCAAAACTGTTTCAACCTATGCCTGTTACCCACTTCCAAAGTCAATTCCACATTTTTGGCTATCCTTTGTGAAAGGAAGATATCTTGGGCCCCCAAAATCACCCAGCTAAAGTGAAAATTCAAGCTGGGAACTGCTTAGGGCAGAACCTGCCTCCCATTCTATTCAAAGTTATCCCTCTGCTTACTGAGGTGAATGCATATCTGATTGTCTCCTTTGGAAAGGCTAATTGGAAACTCAGAATAATGCAACTGTTTGTCTCCCACCTATCTGTGACCTGGAAGCCCCCTGTGATGGTTAATACTGGGTGTCCAGTTGATTGTATTGAAGGATACAAAGTATTCATCCTGGTGTGTCTGTGTGGGTGTTGCCAAAAAAGATTAACATTTGAGTCAGTGGGCTGCTGAAGGCAGATCCACCCTTAATCTGGTGGGCACAATCTGATCAGCAGCCAGCCAATATAAAGCAGTCAGAAAAACACGAGCAGGAGAGATGGCCCTAGCCTCCCAGCCTACATCTTTCTCCTGTACTGGATGCTTCGTGCCCTTGAACATGAACATCAGACTCCAAGTTCTTCAGTTTTGGGACTCGGACTGACTCTCCTTGCTCCTCAGCTTGCATACAGCCTATTGTGGGACTTCTGATCGTGTAAGTTAATACTTAGTAAACTCCTCTTTATATATATCCTATTAGTTCTGTCCCTCTAAGAGAACCCTAATACATCCCTTTTCCACTTTGAGTTTTCCTGCCTTTGCTTCAACTTGTCCTACCTTTCCAGACCAAATCAATGTACTTCTTACATATATCCATGGATATCTCATGTCTCCCTAAAATGTGTAAAACCAAGCTGTGCCCTGACCACTTTGGGCACATGTCATCAGGCCTTCCTGAGTCTGTTTCATGGGTGCACATCTTCAGCTTTGGCAAAATAAACTTTTTTTTTCTTTTTTTTTTTTGAGATGGAGTCTTGCTCTGTTACCCAGGCTGGAGTGCAGTGGTGTGGTCTCTGCTCACTGAAAGCTCCACCTCTCAGGTTCATGCCATTCTCCTGCCTCAGCCTCCCGAGTAGCTGGGACTACAGGCGCCCGCCACCACACCCAGCTAATTTTTTGTATTTTTAGTAGAGATGGAGTTTCACCGTGTTATCCAGGATGGTCTCGATCTCCTGACCTTGTGATCCGCCCACCTCAGCCTCCCAAAGTGCTGGGATTACAAGCGTGAGCCACCACACCCAGCCAGCAAAATAAACTTTCCAAATTAACTGAGACCTGTCTCAGATTTTCTGGGTCCATATTTAATAACCATAAAGGGATTCTGAGTGGACATGCTCCTCACCTTTGACAAATCTAGCCTTTGACAAGCTAGATTTGACAAACACCTATTGGTGCTTGGTACCAACATGAGCTTACTTTATGGCTCAAACCAATGGGACAATTTGCTGAGGTCTGAGAGCAACGCACCCTCCACCACTCCCCGCGCCCACCAAGAGAATTACCCAAATTTGGTCGAAATCTGAAGTTTTTTTTTTTTTTTTTTGAGTTTTACTTGCTTCCAACAAGAAAGGCAAGTTTTCCTTTTCCTTGCTTCCATGATGATGGAAGATAGGTAACTCCGTTATGGAGTTTGAGCTCACTTCCAACAGGGAAGGTGAGTTTGTTGTTGTTGTTGTGGTGGTGGTTTTGTTTGTTTGTTTTTCTGCTTCTAGGATGATAGAGAGTGGTCTACAGCCTGAGATCCATCCCTAGATAAGCAAGTGAATTGGGGTTTATCTTGGCTAAAGTTAAGATTAACAACCAGCTGGGCTTTATTTCTCCTTACCATTAGAGTGCTCAGGAATTATACAAATTGTGAGACTGTTTGTTTTGCTTAAGTTTTTTGTTGTTGTTGATGTTTGTTTGTTTCTGTTTTGTTGTTTCATACTTTTCTCCCATTGGGTTTGACCAACTCCATCCAACTCGATCACATCCGAAGGAAAGTTCCAAATTATGGGGAATAACGCCTCTGAAATGGCTAAATTCCCATACACACAAAAAGGTGGTATAGTGAGGGGGGAAAAATGGTCAACAAAAGAGAAAAAATTTTTTTTTATTTTGACTACTTAAGGGATTTTATTTACATAACAAGGCCACCTTTTTGCTAGCCAGGCCAAACTGAAAGCAATGGCTGTCCCCCACTCTGCAGTTCAATAGCTAAGTTTCTGCCTTTTTTTCCCCCGATTCATGACAGCCAAGGTTTTGTTCCTAAATCAAGTCCTTTCTGGTTTGATACTTGGTACTTCTTTTTTTTTTTTTTTGAGATGGAGTTTCGCTCTTGTTGTCCAGGCTGGAGTGCAATGGTGTGATCTCGGCTCACCACAACCTCCACCTCCCGGGTTCAAGTAATTCTCCTACCTCAGCCTCCCGAGTAGCTGGGATTACAGGCATGAGCCACCACACCTGGCTAATTTTGTATTTCTTAGTAGAGACGGAGTTTCTCCATGTTGGTCAAGCTGGTCTTGAACTCCTGACCTCAGGTGATCCGCCAACCTCGGCCTCCAAAAGTGTTGGGATTACAGGCATGAGCCACTGTGTCCGACCAATATTTGGTACTTCTGAAATAGCAGCAATTTGTCCTAGTTGAAATATAATAATAGAATATTGAATTTTTGTTGTTGTTGTTATTTTTGTTTTTGTTTTTGTTTTTAGATGGAGTCTCGCTCTGTCGCCCAGGCTGGAGTGCATTGGCACTATCTCGGCTCACTGCAACCTCCGCCTCCCGGGTCCAAGCGATTCTCCTGTCTCAGCCTTCCGAGTAGCTGGGACTACAGGTGTGTGCCACCATGCCCGGCTAATTTTTTGTATTTTTAGTAGAGACGGGGTTTCACCCTGTTAGCCAGGATGGTCCTTGATCTCCTGACCTCGTGATCCGCCTGCCTCTGCCTCCCAAAGGGCTGGGATTACAGGCGTGAGTTACAGTGCCCGGCCACCCGATTTTTTTTTACTCAAATAGTTACTGCAACAGAGGCTACTCTTGGGTTTTTAAGAAAGAGTATAGTTTAGACACTTAGAAATGCTTTGTTTAAAAAAACGTTTTAAGTGCACTGTAAAAGCATCATGTGGTCTAGCCTTGTAATAATTCTCCCTTTTTGGATACCCAGGATTCAGTGTGGGCTGTTCCCAGAGCTCAGAGATCCAGTTAAAAAAGAATTGGTAATCCCAATCTAAATAAAATTGATCTCCTTATATAATCCAATGATAAATTTCTACATTTTTATGTTAAATTAGCAATTAAAACTGTTTTAATTTCCCTCCAGCTCACCAGAATTTCTCTTCAGACCTTATAATGTAAATTTTGCTATCTTTCACTTGAATTGTTTCCTTTAATATGCAAATTTAAGACTATTTAGCTGACAACTGCCTAGGGTTGTGAAACAGGTTATCAGGAATCTGAATGCCTAAGATAAAGAAAAAAAGCATTTTTATGAATCTGTAAGATGTACTTCTTCTATCAACATGCCTAATACATCTAGTATTTATATGTTGTGTACACAATGTTGCACTCCTGAAAATATATAAAAGAGCTCTAATTAATGGTCTTAAAAAATAAAAGCATTTATATCAAGTACTTTATTAGAAAAAGGAAAGACTGGTCAAATGCTTTTTCAAGTTATCTGATAAGTAAAATCTTTAATAAATAAGCTAGCTTTAAAATTACTGGTAAAGTAATATTAGAAATGTCTTAAGAATTGCCAGCATACATTTTTATTTGCATTTATTAATCAAGAAATTTCATACTTAACCCTACCAAATACTATAAGGTGTCAAAATTTGGCACAGAGGTTACAAAACTATAAACCCAGCCCAAGACAGAATGACCTCTGCTCCTGTAATCATTAATAAATAATATATTGATATTGGTTTAATGAAAATAGCTACATCTTGAATTATTTAGCAAAATTACCATAATTTCTAATCTTGCGGCAGTCTAGGTAGTCTAGTCCACAGGCAGTAAGGAGGTTTGTTTTGGGAAAGGACTGTTACAATCTTTGTTTCAAAGTTAAACTATAAGTAAACTTGCATGGTAAAAGAATGTTTAATTTTGTGAAAAACGACCAAACTGTCTTCCAAAGTAGCTGTCAGAGACAACCTGCTCCCAGAAGAAAGCAGCAAGCCCCCTCCCCTAAATACCCTGATATCTTCCGAGATGCCGGCTCCGCCCCAAGTTCTCAGAATTTAGGTACAGCTGTATCCACCCCCAGGCCAAACCACATCCTGGTACTCTAAGCCAGGTGGGGCAAGAAGTGACAAACAACTGCAGGATGTAGACTAACCTCAGAAAGCCCCTAGGCCCTCAAATCCCTATATAAGCCCCTCACCTTAAACACTCTGGGCTGCCTCCTCTGAGGGTTATGGAGCAAGCCGGCAGGTCAACAAACTTGCTTGCCTGACTTTGAGCCTACTGGTCCTTTCTCTCCGCCGACCTTACAATAACTGTACCACTTTGCATTTCCACCAGCAATGAATGAGAGTTCCTGTTGCTCTGCATCCTCACCAGCATTTGCTGTGGTCAGTATTTTGGATTTTCACCATTCTAATAGGTGTGTAGTAGTATCCTATTCTTGTCTAATTTGCAGTTCCCCAATGACATATGCTATTGAGCATATTATCATATACTTATTTGCCATTGGTATATCTTCTTTGGTGAGATGTCTGCTCAGATCTTTTATTCATGTTTTAATTGGGTTCTTCTTCTTCTTTTTGTTGAGTCTTAAGAATTATTCGTGTGTTTTGGATTAACAGTCCTTTATCGGAGATGTCTTTTGCAAATAGTTTCTACCAGTCTGTGGCTTATCTTCACATTCTCTTCACAGTGTCTTTCACCGAGCAAAAAAAAAATAATAATTATGTCTAATTTATCAATTATTTCTTTCATGGATTATGCTTTTTGTGTTGTATCTAAAAAGTAATCATGATGCCCAAGGTCATCTAGATGTTTTGTCTTCTAGGAGTTTTATTGTTTTGTGTTTTTACATCTAAGTCCATGATCCCTTTGATTTGGCTTTTGTGAATGGTGTAAGATCTGTACCTGGATTTGTTTTTGTTTTTGCATGTAGGTGTTCCAGTGCTCATTGTTGAAAAGACTCTTTGAATCATTGTATTGCCTTTCTTTTTTTGAAAGGTCGGTTGACTATATTTATGTGTGTCTATTTCTGGGATTCCTATTCTGTTCCATTTATCTATTTGTTTATTTTTATGTATTTATTTTTGAGATGAATCTTGCTCTGTTGCCCAGGCTGGAGTGCAGTGGTGCAATCTCGGCTCACTGCAAGCTCCGCCTCCCGGGTTCATGCCATTCTCCTGCCTCAGCCTCCTGAGTAGCTGGGACTACAGGCGCCCGCCACCACGCCTGGCTAATTTTTTGTATTTTTAGTAGAGATGGGGTTTCACCGTGTTAGCCAGGATGGTTTCCATCTACTGACCTCGTGATCCGCCCGCCTCGGCCTCCCAAAGTTATTTGTTTATTCTTAAACCAATACCACACTATCTTGATTACTGTTGATTTATAGTAATTCTTGAAGTTGGGTTGTATCCATCCTCTGACTTACTTCTTCAATATTATTTTGGCTCTTCTGAGTCTTTTGCCTTTCCACATAAACTTTAGAATTAGTTTGTTGATATCTACAAAATAACTAGCCATGATTTTGACTGGAATTGCATTGGATCTACAGATCAATTTGGGAAGAATCGATATCTTGATAATATTGAGTTTTCCTGTCCATGAATATAAAATGCCTCTATATTTATTTAGTCCTTCGTCGATTTCTTTCATCAGAATTTTGTAGTTTTCCTCATTTGTACATATCTTGTTAGATTTTTACCTAATTTTTTTATAGCGGGTGCTAATGTAAATGGTATTGCGTTTTTAATTTCATATTCCACTTGATCATTATAGGTATATAGGAAAGGAATTGACTTTTATAAATTGACTTTGTATCTGCAATCTTGTTCTCATGGCTTCTTAGTTCCAGGACATTGATTTGGCAATACTTTCATAATTTTCTACATGGATAATTGTATCATCTGTAAAGACATACCATTTTATTTCTTCCTCTTCAGTCTGTACAACTTTTATTTCCTTTTCTTGGCTAACTATGTTAGCTAGGATTTCCCGTACAGCATTGACTAGGAATGGTGTGAGCAGACATTCTTGTGTTATTCCTGATTCCAGTGGAAAAGGATCTAGGTTCTCACCATTAATTCTTATGTTGGCTGTAAGATTCTTGCTTATGTTCTTTATCAAGTGGAGGATGTGTCCCTCTGTTCCTGGAGTGCCGAGACTTTTTTATCATGAGCTGGTGTTGGATTTTGTCAAATGCTTTTTCCGCATCTGGCGATATGATCATATGATTTTTCTTTAGCCTATTGGTGGATTATATTAATTGATTTTTGAACATTGAACTAGCCTTGCCTAGCTGTAATAAATTCCACTTTATCCTGGTGTACAATTCTTTCACTACATTGCGGGTTTCAATTTGCTAATATTCTATTGAGGATTTTTGTATCTGTATTCACAAGATATATTATTTTGCGTTTTTTGTTTGTTTTTGTTTTTGTTTTTTCCGAGACGGAGTCTCGCTCTGTCGCCCAGGCTGGAGTGCAGTGGCGTGATCTCCGCTCACTGCAAGCTCCGCCCCCCGGGTTCACGCCATTCTTCTGCCTCAGCCTCCCGAGTAGCTGGGACTACAAGCGCCCGCCACCACGCCCGGCTAATTTTTTGCATTTTTAATAGAGACGGAGTTTCACCGAGTTAGCGAGCATGGCCTCAGTCTCCTGACCTCGTGACCCGCCTGCCTTGGCCTCCCAAAGTGCTGGGATTACAGGCGTGAGCCACCACACCCGGTCGTGTTTTTTCTTTCCTGTAATGTCGTTTGTGTGGTTTTGGCATTAGGGTAATTCTTGCCTCATAGGCTCAGTTGAGATGTATTCCTTTTGTTTCTATCATATAAAAGAGATGGCACAGAACTGGCATAACTTGTTTTTTAAATATTTGGTAGAACTTATCAAATGAAACCATTTGAGCCGAATGCTTTCTGTTTGGATGTTATTAATTATTGATTCAATCAATTAGATATAAACATATTCAAGTGGTCTGTTTCCTCTTGTGTGTTTTGGCAGAGTGTGCTTTCAAGAAATGTGTCAATTTCGCCTAGGTTATCAAATTTGTGGACATACAGTTATTCATAGGATTCCTTTATTATCATTTTCATGCCCACGGGATCTGTAGTAATGTCCCTTATTTCATTTCTGATATTGACTATTTGTTTTTTCTCTTTGTTAGCCAGGCTAGAGGTTAATCAATTTCATTGACCTTTTCAAAAAATCAGCTTTAGGTTTTGTTGATATTCTTTTGATTTTGTTTTCAATTTCATTGATTTCTGTTCTTTTATTTTTTCTCTTCTGTTTACTTTGAACTTAATTTGTTCTTATTCTAGATTCCCAAGGTAGAATCTTAGGTTATTTTAGATCTTTCTTCTTTTCTGGTTTGTACATTCATTGATATAAATTTCCCTCTATACAGAGATTCACGGATCCATCCGGGTGGTCCAGGCACCACTGGCGCCCCTCTGCGGCGATTCCCCCGTTCCATTTTCTGAAGCCACAGGTCAGAAGCCGCTGTAGAACGCTTTGCCAAACTCCAGGATCTTGAAGAGAACGTAAGGCGCAGCTACCTGCCGCGCAGGCGCAAGCCTTTCTTTCCGCACAAAGACCGTGGGAGGAGGGGTCGGCGCAAGCGCTCGGTGTCTCTCTGAAAAGAACTTCATCATCCTGCCGCCCGCTTACGGAGCGCAACGCAACGCATGCGCCTTGAAGACTTACGGAACTTATTTCATGCTCGGGGCGGCGGTGACGTGTGAACGAGAAGGAGGTGGTCAAGGAACGGAAGCCGGGAGGGAACTAGGGCGGAAGGGGACCAGGGCCGGGCTTGTGTTCGGTGCCTTGCCGGGGCTGGGGGGTTCCGATGTGGTCCCCGGAGCGGGAGGCCGAGGCCCCGGCCGGGGGAGACCCGGCGGGCCTACTGCCCCCCGAGTGGGAGGAGGACGAGGAGCGCATGTCCTTCCTGTTCTCCGCTTTCAAGAGGAGTCGCGAGGTGAACAGCACCGACTGGGACAGCAAGATGGGCTTCTGGGCGCCGTTGGTGCTGAGCCACAGCCGCCGCCAGGGGGTGGTGCGCCTGCGTCTGCGGGACTTGCAGGAGGCCTTTCAGCGCAAGGGGAGCGTCCCGCTGGGGCTGGCCACGGTGCTGCAGGACCTGCTGCGGTGAGGGGCGGGCCGGGGCCGGGGTCACGAGGGCGGGCGGGGGCAGCTCTCCGAGGGCCGGGCCCTGGTCCTGTTGTCTGCACAGTGCACTGCGCCCAGCCCAGTGTCTGGCCCAGAGAAGGCATCCAGTGTGGGTTCAGAAGGCGAAAAAGGAAAATAAGGAGGCCGGGCTAGGGAAGCTTGGAGGGAGAGGAAGAGGGGGTCTGGGGGAAGATTTGGGGTCGGGGATAGTCCCATTAGATGAGTTCCAGAGAAACCAGCCTAGCAAAGGTGACAGTGATTTGCCTGAACTGGGACCCCGTTATGTAGTTATTTCGTAAGAGCCTCCAAATTTGAATGGCCTGTGGAGCAGAAGGTCTAAGAGATAGTATTCATTAACCTAGGGAAGGTCAGAGCTAAAAAGCGGGCATTCGTGGGGAAGAGGCCTGTAGGCATCTTGCCAACAACCCCTGGCACAGCTCATGCGTCTGGCTTGTCCTTGGCACAGGCTTTTTGGAGCAGAGAGGACGTGAAGGAGAACGAGGGCTTTGCTGAGTATCTGAGTGCCCTTAAAAGGTCTGTAGGAGATACGTGTGTGACAGGTGCAGTGTTTTGGCGGTATCTGAGGGGTAACATTGATAACTAATAGATGTACAGTGCTTGGCAGCATGCAGATACTTTGTATGCACCATTTGACCCACTCAGCGGTCTTGTGGTGCTGTGATAGATTATCCTCAGCAGACAGAAGAGGAAACTGAGTTTCAGAGAGATCAAGTGACTTCCTCAGAGTTACACAGGTGGTTAAAGCTGATACCAGGACTGGATACCTGGTCTTTGGATAAGTCATTTGCAGTTCAATGTACGTATCATTCTGAGACCAGCCTAGCATGATACCCCTCTCAGTGAAGGAGGGAGAAAGTCAACTCTGATGTTTTTGTTTTTGTTTTTGTTTTTTTTAGTTTGCTGCTCTTTCTGATTAAGAGCTCTCCCTTCTCTACTTTTGTTCTCAGTACCTTCCCATTGGCTGACATTGATATTGCCTAGGATGGTCTCGAACTCCCGAACTCAAGCGATTCTCCCACCTCGGCCTCCCAAAGTGTTAGAATTACAGGCGTTGAGCCACTGCACCCGGCCAGCAAGGCTTTCGGAGAATGTGTACAGTGGAAACCGTTTTTGTTCATGCCTGAAGTAGGGAACAGGAGAAACAGTAGTTGAAGAAGTCAGTGAGGGATGAGATCAGAATGGACCTCCTTACTGTAGAAGGGTGACGATCTTTCAGTTCCAATCCAGACACTTTAATACATCGATGGTATTAAAGTCTTTTCTCCTGACTACTGGCGCTCCACTGACGCTTCCTGTTGCTTGCCTGGGTCCTGAAGAATTTCTGAGGGTGATACTTCTCCACAGAGGTGACGTGGCATAGTATTAGTATTAAAAGTAGTATCAAAAACCACAATTACTTTTGCACCAACCTAATAGTTAACAGCTTAGCTTGAGGGCCAGCTGGCCTAGGCCTGAATCCTGGCTCTGCCATTTGCTAAATTATGTGGCCCTGCACAAATTTTATGCTGTCTTTAACTCTCAGTTTGACAAATTCTAAAATGGTGATGATAATTGTACCTAGGTTTATTGTGAGGATTTGAAGAGATATTCCTTATATAGCCTTCAGCATAGTGACTGGCCAGCGGCAAGCATTTAATAAATTGAGCTGCTGTTACTGTTACCAGCACCATGAAATACTTACATATACTTACATATACATCATAATACTTACCTATACTTACATATACATCGTAATACTTATATATGCTTACGTATCCATCGTATTCCCACCCTTGCCTTGGAAGAGCACGAAGTCTTTCTCTGTACATCTTTGTTTTCTTCCTTGTGTCTTGCACTCGACAGTGATTTATTTTCATGTGATTGTTTTGAGCACCAATTGTAAAAGGAAATCTCAGCGAGGGCTCAGAAGCTGCCTGTGTTTCTGTTGTCTTAGTGAGGCACTTGCCTTTTGGTTCCAGCCCTGTCATGGTGTAGATTTGACCTCTCTGCTTACCTTCGGAGTCCCTCAGTTTTCTCATTCGTTAAAATGCTCATAACACCGCCTCCTATGCAGAGGTGTTGTGAGGCTTAGAGCTGGAGTACAAGCAATGCTGCATGTAGTTGGCACAGCGTAGGTGCTTAGTAAATGGTAGTGATGATGATGATAAAATTCCTCTTTTGGGGTAAAGGGGGAGCTGGAGACTGGAATGGGATATTGCATTAAGTGCTACTACACGCCCTTCTTTTTCTTCCCTGCAGTCGAGGGGAGCTGCAGCGGGAGTCAGACTTCATGGCCAGTGTAGACAGCAGCTGGATCTCCTGGGGGGTCGGGGTCTTCCTGCTGAAGCCTCTCAAGTGGACTCTTTCTAACATGCTGGGAGATAATAAGGTTCCAGCCGAGGAGGTCCTTGTCGCTGTGGAGCTGTTGAAGGTGGGTACTCAGAAGGGGGTGTCTGGGTGTCACCTGATGTGATCATAGCATCCTCCACGTCCCTTGGGTGCGTTCTTAAAAAAAGACTTTCTTTTTTACATGGTGACTGAGTTGATAACTCAGTTTATCTGCCCTCCCTTGTACTTGCGCTTTGTATATTCATTAGTGGGACTTGTACATTTCAAGGGTTAGCCTTTGTCTGGGAATTTTCAGCAACTAACAGTGGATTGTTTTCTAGTATCTGTAGCGATTCATGTTAAGCAGCCGTTTAGGAAATGCTTTGCCTTCTGTAGTTTACTGACAGGAGTTTCTCAGGATTCCTGAGGACCTTGTGGCTTTCGGTATTGCCACCTCTGAACTGGCGCACTCAGCTCCGCTTTCCTACTTTGTGACCGTGCCCTTTCCCCTTCCAGCTTTCTGATGGCCTGCCTTCTGCTGCACATGCTCCTCTCCCTTGAAGAGGCCACTGGGGCCATGGTCCCGTCCTAGCCTCCTGGTCAGTCAGCCTCCTCCCGGCCTGCCTTCCCCACAGCCTTAATCTAAGCATGGCTCATTGTTCCACTCCCTTCCTCAGCAACACCCTCAGCTCCTTTGCATCTTCTTTGGTCCACACTGGGAGACTCCCAGCAAATCCATAGCCCTAGATCAGTCACATGGGGTCTAACACCCCTGCTGGAGAAAATCACCTGTCATCAGACTGAGGTCCCCTTCACAGTCCCCAGCTGTGGGAGGCCCTCACAGCCACACCACAGCCTCATTTTTCTTTCTCTCTGTCCCCTCACACGCTCATTCCATCCTGTGTCCTCTTTCCTCTCTGCAGGCACTTCACTGAGAAGGTAGACTCAGGGTTCCTGAGTTGGCCTTCAGTTTTCTGTCCTCCTACCCCAAGCCTGACCTCCTCAGAGCCCACCTCCTTCTGTGCTCAGAGTGTAGTGTCCTTCCTCTGCCCCTCGTCTGCTGTGCGTCTGCCCCTCTTGTCCCTTTATCCCATTGGCTGGCCTCTTGCCCGGTATGTTCCATCTCCCTCTCAGCCTGTAAACCCAAACCCACTCATGCTTTTCTGAACACGGATTGTCTCTTTTGTGGTACCTGGGCCCTACGTAGTGACTGCTGTTTTCTTCTCAGCTGACCTTTGCGTCACCATTTCCTTACCTCCCATTCACTCTGTCACCCGGTGCAGACCTGCTTCAACCACCCCCTCCACCTGGATGCTGTGGATGAGTCTCTCTCTCTCTCTCTGTGTGTGTGTGTGTGTATCTACAAAGTTGACTGAGTACTTGGTGGCCAAAGTACATTGCAGAGAGTATTTTTGAAATTCACAGACCAAGCCTGACCTCAGGGCCCTGGCATAGCCCTAGAGGCTTCACACAGCTGGAGCCAGCCCAGAATCCCCACCCCTCACCCCAAGAGACGCACTCGTTTCTCTTCACCTCACCGTGAGAGACTCCAGCGCACTCTGCCTCAGATGGAGGAAGAGGTCTCCCAAATCTGCCCATCTCTCCCTGTCCCCCAGGATTGTTGACTAAGCAGCCCACATTTTCTTCAGGGGCAGCCCCTTTGCTCCATCTACACGCCCTCCCCGCACCCACGCGGTTATTCCCCTGCCCGGTGCCCTGGTCTCCAGGGCTCAGTCAAGGTCCCCGCAAAGACTGCAGGATGATTTGGTTCTGCCTCTCATCTCACATTGTCCTCCAGCCTGGGGCGGAGGAGAGGCAGACCCGTGGATCCCCAGGTGAGGTTTGCAAACAAAACAAGCCTGCTCTTGACGTAAATTGGTTTTCCTGAGTCCAGACAGAGAAACAGCCAGTAACTTTACTTTTGGATAGTACTGAAAAATACAAAAAAAGCAAACATTGTCCATTATTTTGTTATTTTAAAAAAAGAATACAAAGAAATGAGAGTTTTCTTTCTGTTCATCCAACTTTTATCTCTTTGGGCACTCTCTTCCCATTTGTGTGAGTGTGTGAGTGTGTATGTTTACAGACTTATGTTTCCTTAATGGCCTTGTCAACTCTAGTTCTTCCTGAAAATCTTATTCACTTGTTTCTTGTCTGTCTTTCCTGCTAGAAGGGAACAGTGCCATGGGCCCTGGGACCCTGGGAGCAGTGCCTGGTGCCTGGTACCTGGTAGACAGTCAACAAATCCCTGTTGAGTGAATGAATATATACACACAGACGCATGTGTACACATCACTCCATTTTTTTCTAGAAATGGAATCGGTGTGCAATCTGCTTTGTTTTCTTCCACTGCGTTATATCAGGTGCCTCTTTCCAGGCCCTACACAGTATGGATTTACTTGATTCTTTTTGATGCCTGCATGATAATCTATTGCTATGCCACAATTTATGCAACAGGTTCTCTGCAGATGGACATTTAAGTCATTCCGATTTCTCTCTCCATTTTTCCATTACAAAAAAATGCCACTTGGGCAGAGATCTATGTACTTCTCCCTTTATTTTTATGGAATTGATTTTCAGAAATGCCTATGTGCTTTTTAAATTTTAACAAAAAGTGCCAAACTACTTTTCAAAAGTTTGTAATAAGTTGCGCTTTCATCAAGATTCTATAGTCCAGTCTCCCCACATCCTTGTCAGCACTGGGTGACATCAGTCTTTTCAATCTTGCCAACTTATTGGGAAAAAAAATGATAGGTCCTGTTTGTGAATTGAGCGTTTTTTTCACCTTTGTACTAGCCATTTACATATCTCCTTCTGTGAATTGTCTGTTTATATCCTTTGCCTGTTTCGTATTGTGTTATCTTTTTTTTTTTTTTTTTTTTGAGATGGAGTCTGTCTCCCAGGCTGGAGTGCAGTGGTGTGATCTCCACTCACTGCAAGCTCTGCCTCCCAGGTTCACGCCATTCTCCTGCCTCAGCCTCCCGAGCAGCTGGGACTACAGGCGCCCACCACCATGCCTGGCTAATTTTTTATTTTTAGTGGAGACAGGGTTTCACCATGTTAGCCAGGATGGTCTCGATCTTGTGACCTCGTGATCCGCCCACCTTGGCCTCCCAAATGCTGGGATTACAGGTGTGAGCCACTGCTTACAGGTGTGAGCCACCGCGCCTGGCCGTATTGTGCTATCTTTTATGTTAATCTGTATTCTTTATGTATTAGAGATAGATACGTATAATGTATTTGGTATTAAGGATGTAAATATTGTTTCCCAGTCTGTTGCTTGCTTAATTTTTATTTATGATGTCTTTTACCATATAGGAGGGTTCATATTTCTGTAGTCAGATCTCTCAGACTTTTCCATATGGCTACTGAATTTCAGGTCTTGTTTAGGAAGGCATCTTCTGACTCAAGCTTAAGTGGGTATTCTTTTATTACTTTGTACTTTAATTTTTTCCGTTTACATTTCCTTACTTCAATACTTATTTTTGTGTATGTGGTGGGGAAAAGCTCTTCTTCCAAATGGATGGCCAGTTGTCTCAGTATTTTTTCTTGATGTTGTATAACATTAATTTATTTGTGTGTGGTTACTGTGTTCAGCTTATTACTTTCCTCCCTGAGTGTCCTTGGGATCTTTGCCGTGGATATGCTAAGGACTTTCAACCATTGTATCACTGTCCTGCTGTCTCCTTTGAGTTTTAGATTTGTATATCCACTTATATGTTGTATATATATTTTTGGATATCTCTCAGATATCTTTTTTATTTATTTATTTGTTTGTTTGTCTATTTTTAGATGGAGTCTCGCTCTGTTGCCCAGGCTGGAGTGCAGTGGCGCAATCTTGACTCACTGTAAGCTCCGCCTCCTGGGTTCAAGTGATTCTCCTGCCTCAGCCTCCCAAGTAGCTGGGATTACAGGCACTGCCACCATGCCCAGCTAATTTTTTGTATTTTTTTTAGTGGAGACGGGGTTGCACCATGTTGGCCAGGCTGGTCTCAAACTCTTGACCTCAGGTGATCCACCCACCTCAGCCTCCCGAAGTGCTGATATTATAGGCGTGAATCACCACGCCCGGCCTCTGTCAGACATCTTAAAACATCATATCCAAGATGGGATATTTTGTCTTTCCTTTAAACTAGGCTTTTCCTCCTGTATTTTTTGCTATTAATAGCATCACATCCATCAGTCACTCAATCCATGGTGACTTTCCTCTCAACTTTCTCTTCCAACCCTGTATCCAGTTACCAGTGTTACCTTCTGAATTTTGTTTGGCTCCATCACTCCTCTTTCTGTGTTTATTATTCAAATAATCTGTTGTTCAACCCCACATAATCTCTTGTGTAAATGGTCTCCTTGCCTCTAATCTTAACTCTACAATCCATCCTATCCCAACTGGCAGTTAGTTTTCTGTTAATCTAGCCATGTCAGTTTCCTTCAGTGACTACCTGCCATCTACAGAATAAAGGATCATCATAAGCTATTATACTTTCTATAATATAGGAGTGCTTCTCCTCTCTCTCCTTTCCCCTCTACATTTGTACACGTGCCGCATTGACCCACCCTTCTATACTCATGTTCCTTTCTCTTCCTGAGATACCCCTTTCACCTCTTCACCTGGCAGCTTGCTCACTCTTCAGAATTCTCAACATTTTTTTTTTTTTTTTCAAGAAATCCTGAATCACCAGGTAGTCCTTTCCTATATTTTCACAGCATCCTATGCACACCTCAGTAAGTCTTTCTTGTTTCTGGTAGTAATTTCCATGTATGAGCGAAATGGTGACATTATTTCTTGGAACTTACATTTCTTAGTCTTGTCGCTAATCTTATCCCATCTGTTTATCGTGTACTTTTCTTTGTTTTTTGTTTTGTTTTGTTTTGAAACAGAGTTTTGCTCTTGTTGCCCAGGCTGGAGTATAGTGGTGCAATCTCAGCTCACTGCACGCTCCGCCTCCCAGGTTCAAGTGATTCTCCTGCCTCAACCTCGCAAGTAGCTGGGATTATAGGTGCCCGCCATCACACCCGGCTACTATTTTTTGTATTTTTAGTAAAGACGGGGTTTTGCCATGTTGGCCAGGCTGGTCTCAAACTCCTGACCTTAGGTAATCTGTCTGCTTCCGCCTCCCAAAGTGCTGGGATTACCAGCATGAGCCACCATGCCTGGCCCTTTTCCCTTAAGACTCTTTACAGACTCAGTAATGTTTGTTTTTACAGTATAGCCAATTGGCAGGAAAATGGAGAGACTACAATTGGAAGGGAATTAGATATCATTTCATCCACCCTCTTCAGAGAGTGATACTGAGGACTGGTGAGGCTGTGACTGGCCCAGGGTCACCCAGGCTGGGCTGGAAATCAGGCCTCAGGTCTCCTTCACAGATGTTCTACCTCAGCTCACCTCCTCAGTCTTCCCTTGGGAAACCACAGACCAGAGAGAGGCAGGTGTGTAAAATCCCCAGTGGGGTGCAGTGCAGAGCTGGCTCCCAGCATCTCATGCGCCTCATTTCATATGGAGTCACCGAACTTTCCTCCAAGGCTTAAAAACACAGATCCTTCCTCCTTTTTAAAAAGCCGCTACTTGGGGAGGATGGGCTTGGGATTCCCGGGTGCTTGCCTTGTGTGGTCATGGTTTTGAAGCTCAGGGTCAGGGTCCCTGCGTCCTGTGGCAGTGGCCAGGGCCTGTCAGCCCATGTTGCCTTTCCCACAGGAAAAGGCTGAGGAGGTGTATCGTCTGTATCAGAACTCGCCCCTCTCCTCCCACCCCGTGGTGGCCCTGTCAGAGCTCAGCACCCTCTGCGCTAACTCCTGCCCAGATGAGAGGACCTTCTACTTGGTGTTGCTGCAGCTGCAGAAGGAGAAGAGGGTCACAGTCCTCGAGCAGAACGGGGAGAAGGTACGGAGGCTCACCTGTTCATTCTCTGACTCAGTGGTGATTGATTCAGTACATACAGTAGCGACCCCTTATCTGAGATTTTGCTTTCCAGAGTTTCCGTTACCTGCAGTCAACCACGGTCCAAAAATAATAAGTGGAAAATTCCAAACATTAACAGTTCCATAGATTTCAGTTGTGCACTGTTCTGAGTAGTGTGATGGGACCTCGTAGTATCCCGCCTGAATGCTCATCCCCCCTTTGTCCAGCATCTCCCTGCCTGAGTCACTTAGGAGTCGTCTCAGTGATCAGATTGACTGTCATGGCACTGCAGTGGTTGTGTTCAAGCCACCCTTATTGTACTGTTTTTTTTTTTTTTTTTGAGACAGAGTCTTGCCGTCGCCCAGCAATGGTGCAATCTCGGCTCACTGCAGCCTCCGCCTCCCAGGTTCAAGTGATTCTCCTGCCTCAGCCGCTTGAGTAGTTGGGATTACAGGCATGCGCCACAGTGCCTGGCTAATTTTTGTATTTTTAGTAGAGAAGGGGTTTCACCATTTGGCCAGGCTGTCTTGAATTCCGGACCTCAAGTGATCCTCCTGCCTCGGCCTCCTGAAGTGCTAGGATTACAGGTGTGAACCACCGTGCCTGGCCTATTGTACTTAATAATGGCCCCAAAGCACAAGAGCAGTGGTGCTGGCAGTCCAGATTTACCAAAGAGAAGCTGTCAGGTGCTTCCTTTAAGTGAAAAGGTGAAAGTTCTGGACTAAATAAGGAAGACAAAATATCATTTGCTAAGGTTGCTAGGATCTACAGTAAGAATGAATCTTCTATAGGAAAAATTGTGAAGAAGGAAAAATGTTTGCATAGCTGTATGTATAGGGTTCAGTATTCTCCAAGGGTTCAGGCATCCACGGGGGGTTCCATTCATTGGAATGTATCCCCCATGGATAAGGGGGGCCTGCTGTTCTCATATGCCCACCAGCACTCCTGCTTGGGAAGTTCTCAGCCTTTGTGGTAGCAACAGTAGTAATTTCTCCTTGTCCCTCAGATTGTGAAGTTTGCCCGAGGGCCACATGCCAAGGTCTCTCCAGTCAATGACGTAGACGTTGGGGTGTACCAGCTGATGCAGAGTGAACAGCTTCTCTCGCGCAAAGTGGAGTCCTTATCCCAGGAAGCAGAGAGGTAACTTTTAACCCCGAACTGAGCCCCCTCCCCACTGTGGCTGGCCCCCAGAGCCAGCAAAATGTTACTGTATGTGGGCTTTTAAAAAATAGGTGTGTGGTTTTTTTTAAGCTAATTACAAAAGTACTCACTGCTCAATGCAGAAATCATGGAAAGCACAGAATATCACAAAAGAGAAAAAAAAATGAGGCCTTTTGTTCATTTGTTTATTTGTTTGTTTTTTTTTTAGATATCATTTCATCCACCCTCTTCAGAGAGTGATACTGAGGACTGGTGAGGCTGTGACTGGCCCCTCTCAGACTTTTCCATATGGCTACTGAATTTCAGGTCTTGTTTAGGAAGGCATCTTCTGACTCAAGCTTAAGTGGGTATTCTTTTATTACTTTGTACTTTAATTTTTTCCGTTTACATTTCCTTACT